CCATACGTTTTATGGGGCTGTAGATGTTTCCATCCTGAAGTGGAGTGCAGTGAAATGTAGCTAGTTTGTTTTTGTTGCTTTTTCATTTACTGGTTAGGTTGTCTAGTCCATAGATAAACATATGACCCCTTTTGTTTGTTTACCTCTTTTTAAGACCTAAGCTTTTGACATAATATTAAGGCATTCAAATAACGTGTTTGTATTCGTGACAGTAAATTACTACATCTCTAAGTGGATTAAGGATTTCCGTTTACCTGATTTGTTAAACTGTTACCTAGTGTGTGTTTTTTTTTGTCACTGTCTGCCTGCTTCCTCAAAAACAGATGAAAAGTCTCAGTCTTCTTTTTACCAAATCCTTCGAGAGTAATACAGGTTTGGAAATTTGAAAAATGAAATACAGTATATCTGGTTTAAACTGGATCAAGAGGGTTTTGATCCCCTATTCCTCCTCGGTAAGAGATGTGACAGTCATCTCAAAGTTTTTGTTCTCTTGTTAAAATTTAGGGCAAAACAAAAGTTGTAAGATCTAACTTTGTCCCATATAACAAAAACATTTCTATATTTTATGTGCCTCTATTTTCAGTACTTGCTATTTGCATCTTGGTGAAAAATTCTGAATATTCTTAATGTTTGTGTTATGAAGAGTCTTCTCTCTAAATCTCAGTTTCTTTGCCAGCGTCCGACTGATGATGAATCCTTAAGTTCTGATCATTGTATTCATTAGGCAGTTCTCTACTCCCATGTGTGTATATTTAATAACAGGTCTCCATGACAGGAATAATGAACTCCATAATTGTATTTTGGCCTGTTCCCTTTGGGGGAAAAATCATCGAGCAACGTGAACTTCATGTTTGTCTTTCACGGACACTTACGATGGGGATAAACCGGACTGAGGGGCTGCATTGCCAGGTGCCACAGGGTTCTTTGCTTTTAGATCCCTCTGGATCGTCGTTATTTCCCTAAAACTTGGTCAAAATTAACATCCCCCCCCCCCCCCCCCCCGGCAAAGAAACTCCACAGGGTCGGCTCTGAACCAGAGCCTTGCCAAACTGGAGCTTTATGCTGCTGGCCTTGATGGTGTCCGGCAGCCACACATCAAGACTGCATCCGTGTCATCTTCCAGCAGACTGCTTAGGACCACCTCCACGGATGTTACCGGCGAATGTAGACCTCACTTCCTTACAACAGCTCTACTGGGTGGGCCTCTTGGCGTGGGCCACCCCGTGGCTGTGCTGGTCAGGATTTGAATTTTGGTTGGTTGACTTCCATAGTCTCAGGATTTGTATCTTTACCCTTTTCTTGCTTGAATGTTGTTTTTGCTGTTCTGTGTAGGTTATCTAGGGGCGGGACGACGGTAAGCCTGGTTTGTTAGGGCTGCCGGGGTGAGGTGAGGAAAGGCCTGTGTAGTTGTTTGCATGACTGCTCTAAAGTGTGTAGATCAAGTGACTCATTGGATATATATGCTTCTGACCATCCCCTCAGCCTTGTTTTGCCACTTGTATAGAGGTAGACAGTAATTTAACTGTACAGCTCATTTCTTTGAAATGGTGCAACATTCCCCCACTCGGATGGGGGGAGGTGTCGGTGTCGGCTCTGACACGACTGATGGAAGAACAATGGCCAGATGTTCTCATCCTCTTACTACCAAGAGCTCTCGCTTTGCACACTGTGCCTTGCCAGCTCCTGCCCCCCCCCCCCATATAAATCTACCCCCTGCCATGTTCTCTTCCTGAAGACCACAGGCTCATGGCTGCCCATAGAACTTTCCAGAATTGCCAACATCCAATCTTGTTGTCGTAGGCTTCCCTGGCCCCGCCCCTGTTTTGTTTTGTTTTATTGTTATGCCAAAATGAGGAGCCGTCATTTATACATGGGGACAAAAAGAGTGTCGGGTGGAGGAGGGGGTCAGTTCAACATGTTTGACATCCAAGCAATTTTATTACTATAGTAATTCTGATGCATTTGTAAGAGTTTCAGACTTGATGCAAATGTGACGAGTTGGCTGCGAAACGCTCATTGTGTAAATATTCTGCTATTTCCTATTTTGCTGATTTATTACATGTAAATAAACACACATCAAGAAGAGATTAAACATTTTTTGCTAAATATTGCTGCCTTTTCCCAATTTTTTCCAGTCCTACTCTGTGTGTAGTTTTGCTCATTGACTTAATGTTAAGCTGCATCATTTGTAGTCTGGATGACTAGATATTTTTGCACGCAATTTATTCATGGTCAATTCGCCTTGTCTGTGTTCAGTCTGTAGTCATATGCTCGCTTCGCTTATTTACTTGGCAGTTTATCCCCTTCATAAATCTTATTTCCATGGCAACTTTTGCATGTGAAATGTGAAAACCACCAAGGTGGAAGGAGCATTGTTTTTCCTGCATGGTTTTGTGATCTTATCTCCGCCCCCCAATCATGCAGGTAAATTTAATTAAACTTCCCCCCAGAGTGAAATCTGTTGTGTAATCATCCCAAGGTGGGTGTATTTATGAGAGGTCGGGGGTTTGGATTCCACCTCCACTGTGCATGTGTGGTGTTTGCATGTTCTCCCCATGATGTGTGGGTTCCTTCCAAAGACACGCTGTTTGGGTAATTGGTATCTCTAAATTGCCCATAGAGTGTGTCTGTATGTGCCCAGTGATGGACTGGCATCCCATGCCTGTGCCGCGTAGGATTGGCTCGATGCCCCTCAGCAACACTGAGCAGGGGTGTTTACCAATATCCGTACTTGACCATTCTTATGTTCTCACTTATCCGTTTGATGTCACCTTCCATTGCCAAAGTACAGTTCAAATACTCAAAAACAGATAATGCAGATAACACAGATAATGGTAAAAATCCTCAGCTATCAAGTATACATCGGATGCATCCTTGCCAGCTAGAGCAATTCCATGATTCACTGCATCCCAAGTTTAACTGGACCGCTCTTCCCAAGTACACCAGTACATTCTTTGCATTCTTGGAATCGAGAAACACCTTAGGATGGATGGATGGATGTTGCATTATAGGTAAGAGCTCTTCATTCATTTCGTATGTTGCACATACTGAATGCCTCCTCAGTCCTGGCACCAACATAAAGGTTTCATTGTGCATCTCACTAGAACAAGAGTATTAGTGTATTTCACTTGAATGGTTTTTAAATTTTTTCATTTAAATGGTCACTGACATTAAAGACAACAGGCCTCTGGAGCACAGAATAAATCTGCCTCTGTAATTGAACCTTGGACCTTCATTAATAAGCTCTGAAATTAGCAGGAGGCTTCATGGACCAAGTAATTTCCAGGGCCAGCTATAATAACTGCTCGTTGCATCTCATTTCCAATTATTTAACAGTTAAACGTCTGTTACAAATACACACAGTAATGACATTTTTTTGATGAGTATTAGCTTAGCTGAGTTAGCTAAGCACAAACTGAAGCCTGCATTATTGAGCTAGCTGGGCATGGTGCCTGTCGATGAAGAAGCGTAACAACATTGTCATTTCGTTCTACTGCACAGCCTAGATTCGTGTCTCAGAATGAGAAGCTGTCAGGAAAGGGCTCCTTTCTCTGCTGTCCTGCACACCGGCATCACTCCGGCCTTCCGATAGACGGAAGTATAAGTCGCCTCAGCCTTTCTTTTTAAGGGCATCTAGCCATTCGTAGGGAATCGGGGCAAGACCGATATTTATCACACTGCCCCTCACTGCTCGCTAGACTTGGTGCTGTACCAGTGCCCTTTCTTTTAACTGGCAGGAAAAAAAAATCAATACTGGAAAGAACAAGCGATCCAAACTAATTGGCAATTAACTTAAATGTCCACTTTTCTGCACTAGATCAGGAAAAATCTTGGGGGACACATGCCTTCTCAGGTTAAACGAGAGTGACTCCTTCACAATAAATCATTGCAGGCTTCTCTCCAATAATATTTTTACCTTTTATCTGCAAGAAGCACTCATTCAATTATATTGTGGGATTATGTCAGCAAAACAGTTGGGTTGACCTGCCCTTAACAATGACGATAGTGAGAGATACAAGGGCGATAAAGTTGTAACAAAGAGCCCTTAATGTTTTATAATGCCCTGGTTTTTGTGGAGCACATAAAGAAGCACTTTGACAGATACGCTGTGCGTGTCTCTCAACTTAGAACATAAGTCAGTGACGAAGATGAGGTCATCAGTTTAGATTAGATTGGAGAAACAAGTGTCAAGCTTGTATCTGTTTTCCAGTTGACTTTTGAAACTTGAATATTTTTGATTCTTCTGTAGCCTCAAAAGAAACATTTACTTTGTTTTTGTGAACATTAAACCCTGCTGAAGGACTGATGAAAGAAAGGAAAGTCAAAGGTCATGTGGCTGGATGTGTTTTTCCATCTTTTAACTGAAAATGTCAGTTTTTCTAGACCTCTTGATCAGCAGTGTCTTTGCTAATGCCCTGTGATCTATCTCCTCGAAAAGTAATTTTTCTCCTGTCTTTGACAGACTGCAGAGAACCAGTGACCAGGGAGACACCCTCATGATCTTCACGTTCTTATCCTCCATCTCTCATTCTTTCTGGTGAGAAGTTTCCCGCAGACCACAATTCCAGTTTGTTCCGCTAAGCTGGGTTTGCGAGCCAGAGAAAGTCCG